ACTAGGCAATAAAAATGTGAAAGGAGCCCTGACCAGTTTGGCTCAGCAGTTAGAACGTCAGCCCAAGGACCAAAAGCCTCGGGTTCAATTTTGGTCAAGGACACATCCCTTGGTTACGGTTTGGTCCCAGCCCTGGTTGGGGTCATGTGGGAGGCAACCAGTCGATGTGTGTCTCTCACATCAGTGTTTCTCTTTCCCTCCTCCCCTCCCTCCCTCACTCTGTCTGAAGAGAAAAAAAAATATCCTCGGGTGAGGATTAAAAAAAAAAAAAAAAGCACAGGCTGGTGTGGTCAGTGGTTGGGCATCGACCCATGCACCAAGAGGTCATTGGTTCAGTTCCCGGTCAGGACACATACCCAGGTTGTGGGCCAAATCCCCAGTTGGGGGCATGCAGGAGGCAGCCAGTCGATGTTCCCTCTCATCGATGTTTCCATCTCTCTTCCTCTCTCTCTAAAATCAATAAAGAAAAAAAATTTTTTTTTAAGTGAAAGGAGGTCCTGGCCAGTGTGGCTTAGTTGGTTGGGCATCATTTGTGCACCAAAAGGTTGCCAGTTCAATTCCTGGTGAGGGAACATGCCTGGGTTGCAAGATTGATCCTCAATCTTTGGTAGGGGCTATGCAGAGGAGGCAGCTTATTAATATTTTTTTCTCTCTCTCTCCCTTTTTCTCTCTAAATAGCAATGAAAGTATTTTCTAAAAAGTGAAAGGAGGAAGCCTAAAGGAATTTTAGAAGTTGTCTCCCTTTCTAAGGAGTGGCTTGTAAAATACTATCCCGTTACAATAAACACTTCAGTTTAGAAGAGAGTTAAGATCCAAGGATTCTTCATACTTTTCATAATGAAGATGGTGACCCAAAAATCAGGAGATACTGCTAAGTACACAGACGACGGGAAGAGATTAAAAGGAGCAGGGAGGGCCCTGGCCAATTTGGCTCAGCAGTAGAGCGTCAGCCCATGGACCAATGAGTCTCAGGTTCAATTCTGGCCCAGAGCATGTACCTCAGTTGTGGTTCGCCCTCGGCCCTGGTTGGGATCGTGCGGGAGGCAACCAGTCGATGTGTCCCTCACATTGATGTTCCCCTCTCTCTCCCCTCTCTCCCTCCCACTCTATCTGAAGATAAATGGAAAAAATAAAAATAAAAGGAGCAGGGAGAAAGGGTGATTCTGAATCAGATGGAGCTAAATTTTGTGGGCCAGTATGTGAGAGGGTAGTGAGACGAGAATGAAAAACTTTGGAAATATCACCTAATTCCTAACTATGGTACCTCATCGGAACCACTGAATGCTGAAAATTATTTCCATGACTATCTTCTCACTTCTCCAAAGATTAGTACAAAACTAGTGCCATGACCAGCCAATGTGGCTCAGTGGACTGGTCATTGTCCCATGGACTGAGAGGTCCCAGTTTGATTCCCAGTCAGGGCACATGCCAGGGTTGAGGGCTCCATCCCCAGTAGGGGGCTTGCAGGAGGCAGTCTGTCAATGTTTTTCTCTCACTGATCTCTCTCTCTCTCTCTCTCTCTCTCTCTCTCTCCCTTCTTCTCTCTGAAATCAATAAAACATATATATATTTTTTTAATTAAAAAAACACACAAACAAACAGCACCATTGTGGATACAGAGAAGTTGATTCATTACATACGATGAATGCCTTAGGTCATTAGGACTTAATTTTCCCCTGGAACTCCAGTTAAGAAGAGCCAGAATGGTGAGAAAGCTATTTAAATTCTTAATTGGGAGCCCAAAATATATTGACATTGTAAAGAGAAAAAAAAAAGTTGGAAAAAGCTGATACAAAGGATAATACTAGTTTAATATCCTAAGAACTCTGGAGATCAGCACAAGAGTTGATACCTGTTGGTACTTTGTCCCCAACAAAAGTTTTATATAGCTAATGGTCAAAGTACAATTGGTGGGGGGGGACAGGATCGGGAGGAGGGTGTCGATGGGGGGAAAAGGAGAAATATCTGTAACAAAAATAAATAAATTTTTTAAAAAGTACAATTTTGTATACTAAAGAGGTGGAAACTGATGATAAGGTAACATTAGAGAATTAGTCTGGGGCTGGGAATCAAAATCTAATCTAGTTTTGACAATGTACTTCTTTAAGCAAGCTCTTGGTTTCCCCTAACCTCACTACATAAGTTCATCATGACAAAGAACCAGTGTGGTTTTTATTTTTTTATTTTATTTTTTATCCTCCCCCAAGGACATTTTTGCATTTATCTTCAGATAGAGCGGGAGGGAGAGAGGGAGGAAGAGAGAGAGAGAGAATCATCTATGTGAGAGAGACACATCGACTGGTTGCCACCCACACAACCCCAACCAGGGCGGGGACAAACTGCAACTGAGGTACGTGCCCTTAGTAGGAAGGGACCCAGGACTCTCAGGTCCACGGGCCAACACTTTAACCGCTGAGCCAAAACGGCCAGGGCAGCAATGTGTTTTTTTTTTTTTTTATCCTCACCCAAGGACATTTTTCAATATTTTGTTCAGATAGAGTGGGAGGGGGAGAGAGAGAAAGAAACATCGACGTGAAAGGGACACATCTAGTGGTTGCCACCCAAATGACCCAACCAGGGCCAGGGACAAACTGCAACCGAGCCCTTAGCGGGAACTGAACCCGGGTCTCTCCAGACCACAGGCCGATGCTCTAACTGCTGAGCCAAACCGGCCAGGGCACCAGTGTGGTTTTTAAAGCAAAGTTCAGGGGTGGGGTACCTTGAATAGGTTAGCAGGGATCTGTGAATGTGGCATCTTAGGTACAGATTAAAATGGATATAAGAAAGAAGCAGGTTGAAATACACTTCACTGAGGAAGCAGTCAAAGAACTGAGGTAGGAGAAAATGTGAGAGACTTTACATATAAATCCCTCTGACCACCATACACAGCTTCTCAAGTATTATCTCCCTCACTCATTTACCTGTAACCAGGCTCCCTTCTAAACTGATGTAGGTAAGTCTAAAAACTTCCAAAGAAACCAATTCCCTAGAACTTATCTCAATCTGTTAACTGATTAATAGTGGTTAACTGCTTGGGACAGAAAAGATTTCATTAAAAACTAATCAAATTAGCCCTGGCCGGTTTGGCTTAGCGGTTAGATCGTCAGCCTGTGGTCCAGAGAGACCCAGGTTCGGTTCCCGCTAAGGGCATGTACCTCGGTTGCAGTTTGTCCCCAGCCCTGGTTGGTCGTGCAGGTGGCAGCCACTCAATGTGTCCCTTTCACGTTCGATGTTTCTCTCTCTCTCTCTCTCTCTCTCTCTCTCTCTCTCTCTCCTTCTCTCTCCCTCCCACTCTATCTGAACAAAAAATGGAAAAATGTCCTCGGGTGAGGATAAAAAAAAAAAACTAATCAAATTAAAAAAGAAAAAAAAACACCTTAATTTTTTTTTTTTTTTACCCTCACCCAAGGACATTTTTCCATTCTTTGTTCAGGTAGAGTGGGAGGGAGAGAGAGGAACAGAGAGAGAGAGAAACATCGATGTGAAAGGGACACATCGAGTGGCTGCCACCTGCGCAACCAACCAGGGCCGGGGACAAACTGCAACTGAGGTACACACCCTTAGCGGGAACTGAACCCCGGTCTCCCTGGACCGCAGGCTGCTGATCTAACCGCTGAGCCAAACCGGCCAGAGCAAAAACCCTCAAATTTTAAGCTTTCTACCTAGATTTGACCAACCCATATGATGAGAAGAAATTATCTCTATCTTTGCTATATTTTGTTGTTGTCAATCCTCACCCAAGGATATTTTTTCCATTGATTTTTAGAGAGAGTGGAAGGGAAGGAGGGAGAAAGAGCGAGAGAAAGAGAGAGGAAAAAAAACACATCAATGTGAGAGAGACACATGGATTGGTTGACACACCCTCACCAGAGGGGAAAATTGAAACTGCAACCCAGTGTGCCCTTGATCAGGAATCAAACCCACTACCCTTCGGTGCCAGGGCCAATGCTCCAAACACAGAGCCACACCAGCCAGAGCTATCTTTGCTATCTTTACAAAGGATAACTGAAACCTGTTATTCTCATTTACCTGATGAAGATCTGAATGTGTACGTGTATTAGAGCTGAGGGAAAGAAAAAGACAAGAAAGAGGCCTCGAGTTCAACTCAATTAAGGAAGGGGCTGGGAGCTAATTCCCATACACACATCTGTGTTAACATCTCCAAATTGCAAAACAGATGGGACCCTTCTTCAGAGAAATTCTCTGGTCCAATTTTAAAAGACGAGGTAATAGTGTTTTATTCATTTGAATAAGCAAAAAAAAAAAAAATACAATCATACGGACAAGGGAGCTAACATACCCCTTTAACCACCAAAATTCTCAGATAACTCAAGAGAGTTAGCATCCCAGATCCTACTAGAACACTTCCTAAAGTTTAAATGGGTAGGGAAAAGGAGAGCGGAATAAGGAGTCTGGAAAAATGTTCCACAATCCATCCTAACTCTACCAGGTATTCCAGAACTTTGATGGAATACTGATACTTCATCGTGACAGATCTATAAAAAGAGTATTTACAGGAAACCGAAGTAAAAAGAAAACAACTTTTTGAAGGAATGTGACAAGCAACTATCAAAGGAGAGTCAAATTGTGACAACTACCAACAAGAAAACCTGTGATAACAAACACTTGCACTTTACTCTTACAATTTGGGGCGAGTTGGGAGGTTTGGGGAAACTCAAATCAGGATATCATCCACAATGCTCAAAATCGGGGGAACCTGAAAGACCCCCAATTCAGTGCGTTCACGAACCTTTGTGTCCTAAGGACTCTATGTGCTCCCTTCAACTTTCCACTGACTCTGCTCTCTCCCCGGCAGAGCTTCCTACTCTAAACCGAGGCTTTAGCTCCTGCTCTAGGCCATACGCTAGTCCACGCGTTGACTGAACCTTCGGTTCCCGAGGATTACCCGGATGTCCCCTTTCTAACCCCTCCCAGACAGCCTGAATCCCGACTCTCGGCCCCTCTGGGCACCGCAGCACCTCAGCTGCCCCGGATCCTACCAAAATCAGCGGCTCCATCTTGCCCTGCAGCTGGTGCCGACGTGGAGTCGCAAAAACAACGCCGCTGCTGATTGGCCCTACGTCCTAATTAGACCCCGCCTAGGATGGGGATTATTGGACTACTGCGTGCCAGTTATTGCTTTATTGACCAATAAGTGTACCAGTTTGCTTAGCGGAAGCAAGGTGTCCAGCCAGAAGGCACAGGTATTTGATTGTCAGTTTAAATACTCAATAAAATGCCAAAACCTCATAACCGAATAGGGCGGGAGGGTCAGTGGGGCGGGGTTGTTTCCATGGGGAACCGAGGAAGCAAATATTAATTTTCAATTGGCAGGGCGAAGAGCACGTGATATCGTCCGCCTGATTTAGCCGCTTTAATACGCACTTCCTTTAGGGGGCGCAATGTCTCCTTTGCCCTAAAACTGCCCCTTCCTGACGGAATCCTACCCTAATCCCTATTCCAAGAGCTCCCATTAGGTGCCTGATATCCACGGTTGCTATAGCAAACACTGCTCGCTCTTTGGTCAGCCTTGCTCAGATCACTTAAGCATAGTCACAGAAAGGCTGTGCAACCATAGAATAAAGCCAAGTGTTAACTAGATAAACTGAAGTCGCCAGAAAATTGATTGTTACAGTAATAATCTCCCCAAAGTGGAGTGCTAGACTGTACTGAACCCAGGGAAGGACCCAGTGAGTTTGTAAAAGCAAATTTTCTTTCATTTTGAGTTTTGGAGACCAGAAAGGAGACAGTAGGAGGGACAGAGGAGTAAAGGGTCCAGAATTAAGAAGGGTATAGGGAGTAGCGTCTGCGGTTCTCCATTAGGGACAAACCGTTGCAAAATGAGAAAAGAGAAGTTTACTGAATGCAGGGATTTCACAATAGGGAAGGGTTTTGATGAAGATTAGCTTTCCCCTACCCCTCTGTTTCTTGGTCCCCTACCTTCCTCCTTTAGGTTAAGGACACCTTCTATTGCCTTATATTATCCTCAAAGCTATCCACCCCCACCCCCATCTCTGACATTATGTCTTTAGGAGTTCTCCAAGAAGAGCATCCAAAACTACCCAGGAGTTTTTTTCTAATAATTTCTGAGTGGAATCAGAGTAAGAGTAAAGTATAAAACAATACAAAAATTACAGAGCTAACATTGGCTATGAAGGAGGGTATATGATTTTCTGGTAAAATTCCAAGTGATAAGCCTCATATCTGGAAGAAGCAAGGGTTTAGCCTTTATTCCGATTGGGGAGTTATTCAAACATTTAGCATTGTGCCTGGCATCACAAGGTTATCCTTGGCTTGGCAGCTTTAATGATAATACTAACATTTATTGACCACTTAACTGGGCCTGGCACATGCTAAATCTTTTAATACATTATTTAATACTTTTAAAAACCCTTACTAAGTAGATGAGAATGGTGGAGGTGGGAACAGTTAAATAATTTAATTAAGCATTTATTGGCAGCCATACATACATTTGAGCACAAGGGATCTGGTTCTAAAACCATGGTCTTACCCATAATCCACGCCTCTGACATGTGGTACAGCCTGTCTAGTGTCCGGAACCTATCTTTTTTTTTTTTTTCTCACCCGAGGACATTTTTTTTTTTTTATCCTCACCCGAGGACCTTTTTTCATTTTTTGTTCAGATAGAGCTGGAGGAAGAGAGAGAGAGAGAGAAACATCGACGTGAAAGGTACACATCGAGTGGCTGCCACCTGCACGACCCAACCAGTGCCAGGGACAAACTGCAACCAGGTGCGTGCCCTTAGTGGGAACCAAATACGGGTCTCTCCAGACCGCAGGCCAACACTCTAACCGCTGAGCCAAACCGGCCAGGGCCAGAAGCTATCTTAAGTGCCCTACACTGGCGCAGATCTATATGAACCATGAGAAGGGAAAATGTGTGATGCTCGTTGGTTTGGGGGAGGGGGTTGGCTCCTCTTTCTTTGATTGTGGAGAAACTGACAAATTTTGATAGACATTGTTTCAGAAGATGGCTGATGTTTTAGCTCTACAGCCTATTTTATAGGGGTAACTGTGGAGTCATGGGAAGACAACTAACTGGATGGGAGAAATTAGTTCTTGTCCTGACTTTGCTTTAAGAAGTGGGAGAATTCTGGAAAGTCCTTATACCCTCTCTGGACTACAGCTGCCACTTCTGGAAAATGGAAACCTAATATTAAAGTTCTGTGATTGCGTGGCTGGTGTGGCTTGGTGGTTGAGCATCAACCCATGCACCAAGAGGTCCCTGGTTCAATTCCTGGTCAGAGCACATGCCCAGGTTGTGGGAGGCATCAATGTTCTCTCTCATCGACGTTTCTATCTCACTATCCCTCTCCCTTCCTCTCTCTCTCAAATCAATAAAGAGATAAAAATACTTTAAAAAATCAATAAAGAAAAAATTTTAAAATTTTTTAAATTAAAAAAATGTTTTATGATCACCCTGGCTGGTTTGGCTCAGCGGTTAGGACGTGGCCCGCAGACCAAAGTTCCACAGGTTTGATTCCTGGTCAAGGACACATACCTCGGTTGCAGGTTCGACCTCTGGTCCTGCTCGGGGTCGTTCAGGAGACAACCAATCAATGTGTCTCTTGAATCGATGTTTCTCTCTCTCTCTCCTTCCCTCCCTATCACACAAAAAAAAAAAAAAAAAAAAAAAATTGATGGAAAAATATCCTCGGGTAAAGATTTAAAAAATAGTAATAATAACAACAATAATAAATAAAGTTCTGCCCGGCCGGTGTGGCTCAGTGGTTGAACGTCAACCCATGCACCAAGAGGTCACCGGTTCAATTCCTAGTCAGAGCACATGCCCAGGTTGTGGGCCAGGTCCCCAGTGGGGGGCATACAGGAGACAGCCAGTGGATGTACTATCTCACCGATGTTTCTCTCTCTCTCTCCCTCTCCCTTCCTCTCTCTTTAAAATCAATAAAGAAAAAAAATTAAAATATATAAAGTTCTATGATCATTCCATCTTCCCTTCAACTGGAAAACCTTTAAGAACTAATCAAATGGGAAATGCATATGTGCCCCCACTAAATATATATAATACATATATACACACAGTTGACCCTTGAACAGCATGGGTTTGAACTGTGCGGATCTATTTATATGTGTGTGTGTTTTCAATAAATACTGGAAATGTATTTTCTCTTCCTTATGATTTTCATTTATCTATTTATTTTTACCCTCACCCGAGGACATTTTTTTTTTTTTTTTTGCATTTATCTTCAGACAGAGTGGGAGGGAGAGAGAGACAGAAACATCAATGTGAGAGAGACACACCGAGTGCTCACCACCCACACAGATCTGGGGACAAACCGCAACCGAAGTACGTGCCCTTAGCGGAAACCGAACCCGGGTCTCTCTGGTCTGCAGGCCGATGCTCCAGCCACTGAGCAAAACCAGCCAGGGCTGATTTTCTCAATAACATTTTATTTTCTCTAGCTCATTTATTATAAGAGTACAGTATATAATACATGTAACATAAAATATGTTATTTGATTGTTTATGTTATTGGTAAAGCTTCCAGTCAACATTCAGTTTGGGGGAGTCAAGAATTATATGTGAAGCCTCGCCCATGTGGCTCAACGGATTGAACATCGTCCCATGGACTGAGAGGTCCTGGTTCGATTCCTGGTTGGGGCACATGCCTGGGTTGCCGGCTCGATTCCTGGTTGGGGGCCTACAAGAGGCAGTCGATCAATGTGTCTCTCTCATCAATGTTTCTATCTCTCTCTCTCCCTCTCCCTTCCTCTCTCTCTAAAATCAATAAAGATTAAAAATAAATAAATTATATAAAAAATATTAAGCCTTAGCCAGTTGGGCTCAGCGGGTTAGAGCCTCAGCCCTTGGACCAAAGGGTTGCAGGTTGAAATACCCTCAAGGGCAGGTACCTGGTTGCAGATTCGATCCCTGGCCCCCGTGAGGTCGCTCCGGGGCAACCAATGATGTGTCTTGCTCATATCTCTCTCTCCCTCTCTCTCTCTCCCCCTCTCTGGAAAAAAAAAATCCCTGTGAGGATTAATAAAAATATATTTTTAATATATATAATATGTTATATATATATATATATCTTTAAAAGAAAAAGAATTATACGTGGATTTTTTACTGCACAGGGTGTCAGCACCCCTAACCCCAGCATTGTTCAAGGGTCAACTGTGTGTGTGTGTGTGTGTGTGTGTGTGTATGGATAGATAGATAGATAGATAGATAGATAGATAGATAGATAGATAAGTGGATAGAGATAGATAGACATATATATAGTTATAAACAATTTATTGAAAACGTGTAGAGGAGCCCTGGCTGGTGTGGCTCAATGGTAAGAGCATCGGCCTTCAAACCAAAGGGTCACAGCTTCTACCTCTGGTCAAGGGCACATACCTGGGTTGCAGGTTCCATCCCCAGGCCCGGTTGGGGGGCATGTGGGAGGCAACCAATTGATGTGTGTGTCTCTCTCTTTCTCTCTCTCTCCCTTTCACTCTATCTAGAAATCAATGGAAAAATATCGTTGGGTGAGGATTAACCAAAAAAAAAAAAAAAAAGAAAATGTGTAAAGGAAAAGAGGGACTGGAAAGAAATATACCAAAATGTAAGCAATGACTGTTTTAAAGTGCTAGGACTTTTTTCACTGTTTCTATATTTTTCAGGTGTTCTAAAATGTCTGGGTGCTATTCTAAAAGGAGAAAAATCAGCTTTTTAAAAAAATTATTATTTTTTTTAAATCTTCACCTCAAGGATATTTTTCTACTAGTGTTTAGATAGAGTGGGAGGGAGGGAAGGAGGGAGGGGGGGAGAGAAAGAGATGGGGAGAGAGAGACATCAATGTGAGAGAGACACATCGATTGGCTGCCTCCTGCACAAGCCCAACCAGAGCCAGGATCAATCACAACTGAGGTACATGCCCTTGACTGGAATCAAACTTGTGACCCTTTGATCTGAGGGCCGATGCTCTAACTGCTGAGCCAAACAGGCTAGGGCTCAGCTTTTGTTTTGTTTTTGTTTTTTCCAAAGGACAAAATCAGTATCTTCTGGTGGAGTTGGACACTTCACTTCCTTCTTGCTGCCATCATTGATTCTGGTCATAGCCATGTTTTAACA